TCGGCTCGGAAGGTCCAAATGACACCATTTCAGCACATCTCCATCTCCTTTTGAGTTTGTTATAGATCCTCATGAGGTCGAACTCTCCAGTCACCGTTAATTTTCCATCTCTTGGGTCCATATTAATCGATGTAATCCCTAAAGAAAAAAAAGAAAGATTTTAGCGTTCAGATTTAGGAAGATCTCATCTTTTGGGTCACAATTCATAGCCCGTAAAGAAATCCAAAAACAGAGAGCATGTGTATAATTCAAAGCTTTGCAAAACAAAGAAGCTTATGAACGAAGACAAGGGTCAGTTTCAGTTTTTTGGGGGTTTCAATTCATAAATCATAACCCATAATCCCAAAAATAGATAGAGTATGTGTAACAAAACCTCTGTTTTTCAATAACATGAACAAGACAAAATATTATTTTCCTTTTGAGAGGTTTTCAATTCATAACTTATATTGAATCCCAAAAACAGAGAATGTGTGTGTAATCAAAAGCTCTGTTTTTCAATAAAATTCATGAACAAGACAAAATATCATTTTTTTCTTTTGGGAGGTTTCAATTCACAAACCATATTGAATTCCAAAAACAGAGAATGTGTGTGTAATTTAAAAGCTTTGTTTTCAAAACACAATCACATTCAACTTTTTGGGTGTTCAATTCATAATCCATAAAAGAATCCCAAAAAACAGAGAGTGTTTGTAATGAAAAAGCTTCGATAAAAAAAAAAATACTCATGAACAAGAAAAAGGGTCAACAAAAATCACTGTTTTTAGGTTTTCATCAATTCATTACCCTTAAAAAATCTGAAAACAGAGTGTATGGTGTACAAAATCATCAAAAGCTTTTGTCTTTTCAAGAAAAAAACTCATGAACAAGACAAGAATCAAAGAAAATTGTTTCATAGTTTGATGTGAATTCACCTGGAAAGTTAGCAGCTGTTGTCATGATTCTCTGCTTTGATCCCTCATCATGAACTTCCATCATCATAACCATTTTCTGCAGAAAGTGTCAAAAAAATTAAAAACCACCATTAATCAAAAACACTACAAAATCAAAAGACTAATTTTTTTTAACTACTTTCTAAACCAAACCTTCATTTTCTCTAAAGAACAATATGAGAAAAATTAGAAAAAAAAAAAGTCTGATGCTTCTATTACAAAATGTAAAACAAGACTGATCCTTTTATATACACCAAACAACAACACATGAAAGTGGTTTATAGAAAAACTGGAGAAAGACGAAAATAGGAATTACATATGAAGAAATTCCTCACGCGCCTTGTCAAATTACTACCAAAATGGTGTTTTCTTCAAGAGCGTGGAACTCACTCGCAAAAATTTTCAGCTTCACTTGTAATTTCTACTCGCAATAACATAAACTGGAGATGTGTTTTTTTTTTTTTTTTGAGAATAATGATGTGTTATTATCAGTGTTCTAAAATATGGTCCAAGCGCCCGCATATACGGCGTCTATGTGCTACACAGTGGTTGGCCGTACCGTATTTATGCTATATATATTTTTAAATAAAAAAATTATATTTTATATATGATAACTAAATTATCAAATATACAGTTTTAACACGTATATTTTCCAAATATTTCAAATCAAACTATGTTTTGGACCTTTTTCCAAACTTATAATTGATATAATTCTATTTTTTGTTATTTGAAACAATTTTCAACTATGTTATTTTACTATTTGAATTAAAACTACCATGTTAATGTTAATTATTTAAGTTTTTTTTTATAGAATTCACGATAATATTTTTCCTATTACCTATTGAAATAAAATATTTTTGTATATATATGCAAAAATATCTACCGTATATACCCCGCATAAACATCCGTATATACGTCTATAAGTTATACGGCGGTCCACTGTCCGACTAGCATATAACATATTTTAGAACACACGTTATTAATCATTTCTATATTTATTACCTTTTCGAACTTTTTTATTGTGTCAAAGATTCTTACAATGCCTTCTATTAATGCTAAGTTGATCACTTGAATTTTATTTATAACAATGTTCATCACTTGGTTTTTAGTGCAACCCACCAAACATCTCATATTTGTTTGCATTTCTCTTTGTAAACACATTGTTTGCTATTTTAGAGAATTGCTAACGAAACTGAGGTGTGTTAAAGTTAAATGTCTTTTTCGTTAATGGTAAGTTCACAAATTGAGATTTACCAACATTACACGTTTGCTTGCATTTTGCAATCCTAGCTTCACTGGTTAAACACTGTAACGAGAACAAGAAAAAAGGTCACGCGTCTAAACCACAAAACTGATAGACGACCCTAAATTATTTCCATTTAGCAAGTAAAAACCTTTATATGTCAAAGACTATCATATGGATTTATGAGTAACAAACAAAGCTCTCTAATGAGCAAAATATGATTTCTCAAAAACCAAAATGGTTTTTCTTCAAGAGCGTGGAACTCACTCGCGAAAATTTTCAGCTTCACATTTTTTGTTTTCTGTGTTATTTTGTAGTTTTCTACTCGTTAATTGGCAAGTGATGTGTGACGGTCGATTATTAATCGTTTCTATTAATGGTAAGTTGATCACTTGGTTTTAGTGCCACCCACCAACATCACGTACGTATTTGTTAGTATTTTTTCCCTCAAATTTCAGACTAATCTTCCAAAGCCTATAGGCACCGGTAGTTTCACAGCTCAGTATCGTTGCAAAAATACCGATTAGATTTGCTTTTTATCTTTTTTTATTGCCATAAAACCAATTATTAGACTTACCGTTTTATTTTAAAAAACAAATTGCAACTCTAAAATTGTACTACGAGGTAAGAAGATAAAAGTGTCCTCACAATACATGTAACTGTTAAGCATTTAATTTTCACATGTATATGGTTATGTATTTAATACATTCAATTTTAATTAAATTAACCCTTAATGATTTCCTTTTTTTGTGTGGCCAATAACTTTCTTTTTACTACAATGATTTCAAAAAAGGAAATAAGACCTGAAGCGAAGACGTCTATTTGCTATTTATTTTCCTTTTACTAAAAACTAATTCAAGGGAAATAAATGGAAAGTAGAAGAAAAAAGGAAATACGGTCTTTTATAAATACAAACACAAGACGACTTGATAGTTTGTTAAATAATCAACACTTACACTAATCTCTCAAGATTTTTTTTCAGTTTCCAAAGATTGATATCGAGAATTGATCGAATATGATGTCTCTGAAAGTTGTTCTACCTCCTCCAAAATCATCCACAACAACGTTTTATGACCATTCAGACGATCCATGGTTCAAAAACCTTTTGGACACGGAAACATCATCATCATCTTGTGTCACTCAAGTAAAACAAGTACCTGCTTACTTGAATCGACAAGGGTTTTGTGCAATAGAGTTTTTGGAGATGGTGGTGCTTACCCTGAGATTCATGTTTGTTAGTAACCCTCTAGGGTCTTGGCTTAGGTAAGTATATGTCCAGTACGACTATGCCTGTTACTGTTGATGTTCAAGGAAACGCCTTCTTTGACACCCTCGTGAAGTCGAACAAGATTGTTTACTCTCAACACAAGGATCTTATTCCCAAGATTCTGACAAACGAGGGAGATTTGGATGATGAGGAATTGGAGAAGCAGATACACGACACTGCTGAAGAAACAAAAGCTTATATTGACAAGATTGTGAATTTGTCTTATAAGGATGTAATGAGTGGCTCCATGTACATTAAGTATAATCCATCCGAGCAATGTGCAACTTTCAATTCCGGTGCTAAAGAGAGGATGGTGGATATAGCTGTAGATCCACTTGATCCTCCAAAGTTTAAGCACAAGCGAGTACCAAGAGCTTCTTCTTTTGGTTCTCCTCCTGTTCCGGTGATGCATTCACCGCCTAGGCCTATTACCGTCAAGGACAAACAAGACTGGACCATTCCTCCTTGTATCTCCAATTGGAAAACGCCAAAGGGTATACAGTCCCTCTTGAGAAACGTCTTGCGGCGGATGGAAGAGGCCTACAAGAATGTGTTCAGGTCAGTGATGGCTTTGCCAAGTTATCAGAAGCTCTCTTTGTAGCTGAGTACAAGGCTAGGGAGGCTGTTTCAATGTGGTCAAAGTTGCACAAGGAGATTGTGATTAAGGAAAAGGAAAGAAAGAGCAGGAGTTGAGAGCTCTTGCCTTAAAAGCTCGGTCTGAGAGACCAATAGGAGGCCATGTGATGAGAGAAACAGAGGAAAGGAAGAAGATTCGTGAGGAAAGAAAGAGGGAGAGAAGGTTGAGGGAGAGAAGGTTGGAAGCTGCCGGGACAGAGAGCGCGATATCACTGAGAAGGTTGCACTTGGAATGGCATCTACTGGAGGCAGAGGAGGAGAAGTTATGTATGATCAACGGCTGTTTAACCAGGAGAAAGGAATGGACTCTGGTTTTGCCACTGATGACCAAAACAATGTGTATGACAAAGTATTGTTTGCCGCGCAATCCACTCTCTCAACGCTCTACAAGCCAAACAAAGATATGGATGATGAAATGTATGGCAATAATTCAGACGTGCAGGTCCATAAGCTCAACGACAGTAGTGAGAGGTTCAAAGCTTTCAGCGGTGGTGGTGCGGGGAAGAGAGAACGACCTGTTGAGTTTACCAAGGATGATCCTTTCGGTCTTGCATAGTGGGAGAGTGATATGAAGAAAGCTAAGAAGCCGTTCGGGTTCTGAGGCGGCACTATGGGACCAACTGGTGGTGGCGGTAGCACAACGGATCACTAGACCAAGATCAATTTCTAATATGGTCGCTCTTCTTTGATTCAATAGTTTTAATGCTTTACCTGTTTTGTTGTCTACGGTTTTACAACATTAGCGAAATTTCATGGATCATAAACTAATAAATGACCCTTAATTATTTTCATCTAGCAAGTAAAATAACTTGAATTTATGAGGAACAAAGCTCTCTAATGAGCAAACTATTATTTCTCAAAAAACTTATTCGTGGAGATTGATTATTGACAAAGAGTGCTCTCTATAAAATCATTTTTCCATGGAAAGATGAATACTCTTCACAAAGAATATAGATGTTGCTTTCTTTCTCTCTAACTCTGTAGAGCGGCTTGAGCAATCTCGAGGGCTTCCTCAACTGAAGATGCGCTCGCGAGTTTAGCCTTATCGACAATTGGTTGGCTTCTTGCTAGTTTCGGGAGAAGCTGAAACTCCTGTGTAATACACAACCATGCAAGTAATTAGCAAATTCAATTTACATGAACAAGAACACATATAATTGCAATGGTCGAGATTCATATGCTTGATTGAGGGAGTTACCTCGGGAGAACCGCTTTCTACAAGAACACCTTTCAACCTGCCTGCGATACAGTAATTACTCAGACAAAGTTAGTTAATTAGCTAGGCTTTGTGTATGAGTGCAATGAGCAAGAGTAGGAAGTGAAGTGAGAAAAAGTGGAAGGGATATGATTTACCAGAATCAATCCAGAAGGTAGCGATTTTCGGGTCGAAGTTCCCAACCTCGACTGTTTCTCCCACTGGCCAATATGAATAAGTGGATTAGATATACACTAGAAATATTGTTTTGAGTAGTTGGATAGTGTACTATTTTGTTCTGGTTCTAACAAGATTTACCATTATCCCCGAAAAACTGCCACCAAACTTTTCTTGGGCTGCCTTCATACTCGAATACTCTTGAGTAGAAATACGGGAGATAATCGTACCTGCAGCGTTTCGAGCAAGACAAGGAACTAATAAGTGAGGATATGTTGAGAGATGCACAGACAGTCTAGAGATCATGCCATGGTGGAAGAAGCTTACGTGTCAGTGTGTGCTGTGAGTAGCGATTTCACACAGTGTTGTGCAGATCGGCGGGCGTGATCGACATGCTCAACCCGAGTTATCCGATCATATATCTGTTCATCAGAGAATAACATGATGAATTTATAGGTCACAAGACTGGTGGCTTAACATGTTTTATCTAGTAGCAAAGTACCTTCAAAGGGAAGGCTGCGACATCTCCAATAGCAAAAATTCCAGGGGTACTTGTCCTGAACAAGCCATCAACCTGTGGTTGAAGATGATCTCTTATCAGACTTTTTGATTGAAAGAATAAACTGACGTAAGTTCTCGTGAAGTTAAATCTTCGAAAACCGATTAATATTGGAAACTAAATCAGGATGTTTTTGCGATAACATTACCTGAATTCCTCCGATAGATTTGTTCATGGCCAAAGTTTCAAAGGGGCCAATAGCAGGCTTAGCTCCAATTCCGATCACAACCTGTAAAGACGTAAGGGTGCACATGTTGAACAGAAGTCAGTATTTTATTGACTTTGACAGTTTCTATTTGATCAGAGTTGTTGAAGTTGCATCATTTGAGAAAGAGAAACTGAAGCTTAGTTACAAGTATACCGTGTCTGCTTCAATTGTAGACCCATCAGCAAGCTTAACAGCTGATACCCGCCCATCCGAACCTGCTTCTAAGTTATTTATGGAAGCGCCCTGTTCAACAGAAAGAGGGACATAAAGTTTACTCACTGTGTTTCGGAAATTCTTAGGTTTGCAGGAAAGCAAAGGCTTAAGGCATTGATCGTGAGTTGATATCTTACCTTGACAAACTTAACACCATTTTGACGGTATAGTTCTTCGTATTTCTGAGCAAGTGATGGAGTGAACAACCTTTGCAAAAGCTGATCTTCGGGGAATACAATCTATTGTTGCACAGGGGAAAGTCCAAAAGAAGCTATAAGTTAGTATAGTAATCTGAAAATACAACTTTTACATCATGCAGATTGCATGGGTGTCAGTTTCGCATATTATATGAGTGTTTCCAGGAATTTTTTCAATCAACAAATGACTAATATACTTTATTACACGCATGATTTAAAGATTAAAGTCACAGGGATGATAACCGTTGTATCTAGATTCCACGCAACAGCTGCAGCAGCAACCTCCATGCCGATGTAGCCACCACCAACAATGACAACTTTCTTTGACTTTCCCTGAATCATATATTAGAAGGTTATTTTGTCACCGAAAGTATTTAGATGACGTTGATAAAGATGACATAACTGGTAAGAATGCCCTGAGCTTACCAAAGATGATATCAGTGAATCAGCATCTGCAACCTCCCGAATATAGTGAACACCGGGTAAGTTCCCACCAATTTTATCTGGGAACCTGCAATAAAAATAGAAAGCAAATATACAATATCAATGGACAAGATTGAGAATTTCTAGTTTCTCTGATGTTGTTTATCAATTCATAGCAAAATAGAATGTCACTTCATTCACCTTGAGGCTGTACACCCTGTAGCGATAATTAGTGATCCATATTTTAATAGATTCCCTTTGTTTGTTGTGAGGGTTTGCTTTTCAAAATCAGCTCCAGTCACTGGATCTTCATATATCACCTGTTGAAACCAAAAATGTATTGATTTAACACAAGAGAAGACCACAAAACTCACCCATGTTGATTCCGAATTGGACGATTAAACAAAATGAAGACTACTACACTTAAATTACATACACAGATTTTGGAATAATACAAAACTATGAATCACAAGAGGAATTACCTCAATTCCTTTCTCCTTGTACCAATCTGGTGTTTGTCTCTCTCCACTACCTCCAACACAAGTATGAAAGCCCTGCACATTCATTCACCCTCAATATAAACACAACACACTAATCACAAAAATAAGAAACCTACCAGAACCCAATCCAGAGAGTTCATGTAGCCAAGTAAGACTAATAGCACTAATTCAACCGTAAACGAATCCAAACACAGACGTAGCAACGATCACGCTACTTACAGGTAAACGAGCTGGCTTCTTCTCCGGAGGGAACAAGTAAGCTTTCGTCAAAGCTGGTCTCTCATAAGGTGCGTAAGCCTAAACACAACAACAACCACAAATCCAAAAATCACATACAAATAAACAACCAAACAGAGAGAAGTACCAAGAGCGATACCGATGAAGAAAACACTCGATGATCGATTTGATTTCACCTCTTTGGTCACAATGCAGAGACGACCATCAGCCATTCCATTGTCTACAAAAGTCCTAGCAGCATAACCAGCAGCATTTCCTCCACCAACAATCACAAATCTACAAAATACACAAAATTACTCGATCCTAATCTCTCAATTGGTCTATGCAAATTCGAAAATTGGAATGAAATTATGACTAACTCGCGATTCTCGTTAGCGAACGAAGCAGTGACGAGGCCTCTGGACGCGATTCTGGAACCGATCGGAGAAAAACGAGCGGGAAAACGACGAGCGAGAGACGGAGAAGTCGGACACCAAAGAGATAATCCAGTCTTCGTCGGCAACGTGGTGGATGCTAACGCCATGATTCTCCGTACTGCAACAATAGACGATGATT